AGTCCTTACCTTCCTCCCTGCACATTTTATCCCGGCTTCTCCTGAGACGGGTAGTTCTCCACCCCCGCCAGGAGGACCGCCATCAGGCGATGATGAGGACTCTCATGATCCTCACGATGATGGCGATTCCGCCGCGGTGTCTCAATACTCTGCCTCAGCCGGCACGTCTACTGGATATGACGCCGGCACCGGAGGCTCTCGTCGTGTTAGCTCCCAGCTGACGGGAGCCCTTAGTGTGGCCAGATCCTTCGGGTTTGCATTTGCAGCAAGGCATAGCCTTAGTGCTAGGGTGGGGACCATAGTGCTTTCGTGTGAGCGAGGCTTCCTTGCCCTCACACCTCCTTCCTGCATCTTTCAGCACAACCAGCTCATCGAGCATGTTCTCCCAACGCCAGCTGCACAACAGCCGCGGTCCCCAAAATCTGCTCGGGCCCCTGCAGCCAATCCTCCTTTGCACCAGCGCGATGTTGACATGTGGAATCGGGGCCTGCATACTGATGCTCTTGTCCATGAGCCCCCCGAGGACACCTCTGTATCCCGCGACTGTGTCATTCGTTTTGTGCGTCATGCCCGGGCAGCTTCTGCTGCCAGCCGAGCCGTCATGTCCTTGTTCCGGGCCCTGCTAATTCTATCGTCCTTTTCCACCAGCTCGATCCACGGTTCAGGGTCCGTGGATGTTTGTCTGAAGAGACAGCGACGTAGCACCAAATGCCTTCAGCATGTGTTCCTTTGGGGCCTCCTGCTACTTGCCTTGCAATGTTTTCCGCGCGCTACGGCGATGCAATTGGGTCCCCGAGAGATAAAGGTCGATCAGGAGCTTGCAGGACATCTAGGACTTCGATGCATACCTACACCGTGCCGCCCTCCTCGAACCGAGCAAGGCATGCTCCCCCCCAGACCTGAGCCGCTGCCTCCCAGCGACGGCATTGATGAAGTATCCGAACACTCCTTCGACATCGAAGCGTTCTTGTCGGACCTGTCCACGCTCCTTGAGCAGAGTTGCAAACAGAGCAAGGACAGGCCCTTCTTCTATGCCTGGACACTGATAGAAGTCTTAGCAGATCACTTCCTAGATGTACCATCAGTCGCGCACCGGCCGCCCCCTGCAACCAGCCACGTCACTAGTCGCGCTGTTGAGCAAGCGCGCCCCACTGCCCTCGCTCTAGCTGATCTGCTCTACAGAGAGAGTGAGGATCACTTTGCCGGCAGTTCGTTTCACCTTGAGCCCGTTCCTCAGCAACCCATCCAGTGGCCAGCTCTTCCTTCGCACATCAAATGCTTCGAAGACCTCTTTATTGGGGACACCCCCTTGGGCTTCACTTTTCAAGCACTGCAAGGGCTCTACAGTGCGCCCACATCGCTGCTATCCTGCCTCCAGGCGGCCGAGATATACAGTGTGCTGCATACTTTTGATTGGGGTGCTCTACACCGCGACATGCAGCGCATGCTTTCGGAGCGGCCTGCCAGCACTCTGTGGGTGTACACCGACGGCTCCTTCACCCCAAGTCATGGCAACCGACCGGCCAAGGCAGGATGGGCAGTGATATGCATTGACCCGCGCGAAGGTCAAATCAGTGTTGCCGGGGGAGCACTGCCCGAAATCCCTGAGTGGGGCGACGACCGGCTGTCCCCGTATCTTGCCGAGTGCTATGCCTTGCTGGCAGCAGCGCTCATCACCACCTCAGCCTTTTCGCACCGCCAAGTCCTCTTCCTATCCGACTGTACCGCGGCCATCGGAGCCGCAGCCGGTTTGTGCACTCACCAGTTACATGGTATCCCTGAGACCATGTGCGCTGCACACATCTTCCGCAACCAAGTGTGTCGACGCGCCGACTCCTTCCAGCACATTCCAGGTCATAAAGGCATCCCAGGCAACGAACTTGCGGACATCATCTCCAAACAAGGTGCCGCTGCTCCAGAGATATCTTGTGGCCTCAGAGTATCAGCGCTCCAGGTCCGCAAGTGGCTCAGCCATGGTGGCCATCACCTCCCCTGGGCTGCCCTTGCCATCCGAAGGTTCCAAGGCGATGTCACCCTTCCCCCTATCAATGCTGATCTCCACCTCGGGTGCAAGCACCATGCAAACCTCTGCCCTGAGCAACTTCTGGCTCCCTTCGTCCCGCCAGGGTCGTTCCCGGATGCGTATGACGGCCCAAATCTCTCTGACAGGCCTTGCCCACAGCCCGTAGAAGACCCGCCTCTACCTGAGGCGACTTCTTACCACCAGCTGCACATGAATTTGTGCACTTTTAACGTGCTTTCTCTAGGGAAACCATCTGACACCCATGCAGGGCGCGAAGTTGGAGGAGTTGGAGGAGAGGGGCTTGCCTATCAACCTGCGAGGGCAGCCCTACTCGCCCAACAACTGAAGGACCGGGGAATCCATATCGCATTCTTGCAAGAAACCCGAGCGGACCCTGGCCTATCTCAGGTAGGTGATTTTGTAAGGTGCGCTACCGGAGCTATCCGAGGCCAACTCGGCACAGAACTGTGGCTTCGCCTCAACCACAAGCTCTTTCGAGCTGTTGACGGACCTTCCAGTTTCGAAGCTTTTCAGAAGCACAGGCTCACGGTCCTAGCATCCGACGAAAGAAGGATCCTGGTCCGTTTCTCGGGCCACCGCATCTCTATCCTTTTTGCCGGTCTGCATGCACCACATCGGGCCCATGAGCAGTGCCTCATTGACTCCTGGTGGACGGACACCCGTAAGCTCCTCCACCAAAATGTGGGTAAGTCCTTCTTAGTTTTAGGCGGGGACATGAATGCGGCCATTGGCAGCGTCACCTCAGACCACGTCAGCGACGTCTGGCCGGAAGATCAGGATCTCCCTGGCGAGCACCTCCATGCGATCGCGCGGGAATTTGACCTGTATTTTCCAGCCACCTTCATGAGGTGCCACACCGGGTCGTCCCACACTTACACTCAGAAGCATGGCGGAGCCAGATGCCGACCTGACCTGCTTGCTCTCCCTCTTGCATGGGGTCATGGCATCACAAGGTCGCAGTGTGACCCATCTATACACTCAGCTCACTCCACTCCCGACCATGTCGCGGCCCGAGTTGATGTCAAGGTGGGCTTCGGCATAGCCCCAAGTGCGTCACAACCCCGAGCTCGACGCATTCGTACAGAGGATATCATCAACCCAGATAATCGACATGCTATCTCGCGCATCCTGGCTACCGCACCGCCAGTCGACTGGGGAGCATCTGTGCACGCACATGCTGCGATCCTTGCCGATCATGTACAACAGGGCCTTGAAAGCCTTGCCACCCATGCCCCAAAGCGGCCACACCATCCCTATTTAAGGGATACCACATGGGCACTTCACAAGCAAGTCTCAGCTACGAGGCGAGAGCTCCACCGCCTCACAGACATTATGCTCAAGTGCGATTTAAGCCTTGCCTTTCGAGCCTGGGCACATGGGCAATCCTTCCTTGAGGCTCTCAGAGGGGGCGGCAGGTGGCTGGCAAGGGCCATGTCTGTACAACGCGACCTGCACTCACGACTGACAGAGACATGCCGACAGCTCAAGAAAGCATGTCGCACAGATCGCGACCTCTACATCGAGGAGCTTGCTACCACGATATCCGTTTCCCCGTCAAAGGAAGCCTTCCGAGCATATCACCGCATCCTCTCCCATCGTCGGAAAAAACCCTTTAAACTTGAGCCTCTGCCCCAGATTTGCACCGCTGCGGGAGAGGTGTGCACTGACGTTGCCGCCACTGCAAAACGGTGGAGAGAGCATTTCTCCGGGTTGGAAGCTGGCAAAGACTCGACTTTTGAGGTCCTTGCTCAGGCAGCATACCATGATTGTCTAGCCGGTACCAGCCCACATCCTGCCAACACACAGGAAATCCCGGGTTTTCTGGATCTGCGTTGCGTCCTAGCCAGGACCAAAACCGGCAAAGCTAGCGGTTTGGACTCCATCCCACCAGAGTTAGGCCGGTTCTTCGCCCACGAAACCACCCAGCTACTACAGCCACTCCTGGTTAAAGTCATGTGGGAAGGCCAGGAGCCCGTGGGGTTCAAGGGCGGGCGTGCCGCCATTCTGTACAAAGGGCGGGGTCCAACTTCTAGCTGCGCGTCTTATAGATCCATCCTCTTGACCCCTAGCTGGTCTAAAGCCTTTCATCAGGCTATGCGACCTGCCCTCCGTGGCGCCTTTGAAGCTTCCGCGCCATCCATGCAGATCGGAGGACGAAGAGGGTGCGGAATCACTTTTGGCTCTCATGTGCTGCGGGCCTTACAGCGCAGTGCCGCTGCTTCGGGCCGATCCTGCTATGTGCTGTATGCGGACATTTCCGCGGCCTTTTACAGTGCTCTGGTTCAGTTTGTGGCCCAAACCGGACACAACACCTCGGAAACGGAGCTCAGTAGAGCCCTTGATGGGCTCCTCCTCCCGGATGAGGTCCGTGATGAAATCCGTCAGGTGTTAGCGGAACCCACCGCTCTGTCTCGACTCCGGGAGTCGCCCTGGCTTGAGCACATGGCAGCACACGTTTCCAGCCAGAACTGGTTCCTACTTACCAATGACGCTGTCCCCGTCAGCACCGCCCGAGGAACGCGTCCCGGGAGCTCATGGGCCGATCTTCTTTTTGCCCTTTTGATGCCGCGCATCATGCGCAAGCGTGACGACATCCTCCACCAACTCGGGTGCGACGTTGCCCGGCCCAGCTTCGCGTGGGACGGTGTCCCCAGTTTGGACCCACCGCCGTCAGCTGAACAGCGCATAGAACTACAAGAAGTGATCTGGGCGGACGACCTGGCGATTCCTCGGGTTCTCCAGCACGCTGCCGATGCCGAGCACACCCTGCGTGCTGACGCGACAGCCCTCACTGAGTCCTTTTTACTCCTTTGGTTTCAAACTTTCCTTTGGAGACCATAAGACCGCTGCCGTCATCACACTTTGTGGGCAGCGTAGCCGGCAGATAAAGCGAAGGTTTTACGGACATGCAGGCCTGAGAGGCCGACTGCCGATCCTTCTTGAGCATCTGCCGGCTATGCATCTCCCTTTGCCAGCCAAGTACAAGCATTTGGGAGTGTGCCAGTCACCTGCCGGGTCGATCCGCGACGAGCTGATTCACCGGATTGCCCAGGCCAGATCGACTTTCGCCGAAGCTAAGCGCAAAGTCTTCCGATCTAAGGCCATCCGGCTGAGCAAGAAGGTCACCCTTTTGTCCTCAACCGTCCTCCCCAAGCTGCTTCTAGGAGCCTGATCACCAGCTCTTCACCGGGGCAGTCTGGGGCTTCTACAGAAGTCTGGTCCATGACCCCTTGGCGGAAGAGCAGAACATTACTGCCCATGCTTGCTTCTCGCTCCTCCAGTTGCCTGCACCAGCCACTCTTCTGCGAGTAGAACGTCTTTCCTACCTTCGGCAGATGATCCAGGCCGGGCCGCCAGAGGTCTGGGCGGCGACCCGCAACGATAGACCATATGCTGCTCTCCTGCTAGAAGACTTACGCTGGTTGCACACATGGACATGGGCTACCTCCCCGCTTCCTGCCCCCGATGGGCAGTGGGAAATTTGGCGGTCCTTCATTGCGGAGTACCCTGCTCGATTCAAAGGGCTGCTAAAGCGCACACGCGCCTTAACAGTCCACCAGCATACGGTTGTTGCTGCCCTTGATGGGCTCTTCCGGACGCTGCAACACTTGCTTGCGCCAGCTGCCGACTTTCAAAGCACCCCACAGAGCCCGTGCGAATTGTGTTTGCCCTGCAAGCGAGGATTCTACAGCCGTGTCTCCTGGGCAGGGCACGCTGCTCGCCTGCACAACTACCGCAGCCGGGCTTTTCTCCTACCGCAGGATAACATTTGCAGGGCGTGCGGCAAGGTTTTCGCGACCTTGGGCAGACTCCGGCGGCACCTCCTTTCGGCACCCGGATGCCTTGCGCGATGGGGATCCTTCACACCGGATCCGAGCACCCTGAAGGTCTCCCCTCATCCCCTTGCACCACCGACCCCGGGAATAGGGTCTTTTGCATGCGTGCCTGACCTTGCCGCTACTGATGGCATCAATGAGGCCTTGCTTGACTCATTGGAGAAGCTTGAAGGTGTCACAGAAGCAACTGTTTGGGAAACTATAGAAGGTTGCATTGCTCCTCTAGCCACGCTGCGAGCTACGGTGCAAGCATGGCAAGGATCTCTTCCAGACTCTGCATGGGTACAGGAGACTGCAGAAAACATGCTACTGCTCCTGGACCCTACTGTCACAGCCGAGTCCTTACAGCCTCTGCCCAGAAGCTGTCAACCGGCCATTGATGAGGCTCCAGTGTGGACTTCACTGACCTCACTCCCCCTCGCACAGTCAGGCGAGACCCTGGACTTCCAGTTAGCTGCACCGCCAGCTAAGAAGATGCACCACAGCGAACCTACCAGTCTTACGGTCAAGGAAGCTGCCGCTTACGCCGCTTGGCTCGAAGCCGCATGCCACAAGCTTGCCGTCTGCGCCACGACTGCAATGGTTCAACCGGTGCGGCTGCAATGCCAGGGCCTTGGCCCCTCTCTAGGCCCTGCCCAGGGCTGGCTGGAGGCTTGTGGATTTCGCTTTTGCGAGCAGGGAACTGCCTCTTTTGGTCGGTCTTTCACCAGCATCGTCTCACCCTTTCTGAATTCATGATAGGCGAGCGTCCGGAGAGGACTCTACCGCTGCGAATGGAATGGAACATCTATACTTTCTTTTGAAGCTTAGCAGCGAGTTTAGGCTTCCGCGGGAGCCTCGTGGCCTCGGCCAGGCGGCGCCTTTTCGTCGCGTTTTTCATGGAACCTGGCCTTCCGAAAGTAGGGGGTTTAGGGGTTTAGGGTTTAGGGTTTAGGGTTTAGGGTTTAGGGGTTTAGGGTTTAGGGTTTAGGGTTTAGGGTTTAGGGTTTAGGGTTTTAGGGTTTTAGGGTTTAGGGTTTAGGGTTTAGGGTTTAGGGTTTAGGGTTTTAGGGTTTTAGGGTTTAGGGTTTAGGGGTTTAGGGGTTTAGGGGTTTAGGGTTTAGGGTTTAGGGTTTAGGGTTTAGGGGTGTACCTTGGGGTTCCTTTAACGGGTTACTATAAGGGTGCTATAAGGGCCTAAGGGTTCCTTCAAAGGGCCCTATAGGGGTTTAGAGTTTCCGAAAATAGGGGACTCTTTAAGGGTTCCTTTAAGGCATCTATAGGGGTTCTACTAAGGGTTCAGGGTTTAATGGGGGACCCCAATATAGGACCCTAAACAGTAGGATCCCTATTTTCAGGACCCACCAACAAAGGTACCCCTAATTTTCGGAAACTCTCATTTTTCAGTACGTACCACAAGGAGGGTCTTAGGGTTCCCCTTAAGGGGCATAGGGTTTAGGGTTTAGGGTTTAGGGTTGAAGGGATCTAACAAGGGTTCCTTTAAGGGGTTTATGTTTTAGGGTTCAGATGTCCTTCTTGGAGGGTCATGGGTAGTGATAAGTGGAGTTACAAGTCCCCTAATATGGGTTATAACTATAGTTACCGTACTTATAAGCCCCAGTTATAACTACCCATGAACCACCCGTTCTCCCGGACTTCGGATTTCGTGGTGATGTACGCTTGTTCTAGGACCTTCAACATCTTTCGAGTGACAACATCACGATTCACTTCGGCCTCCTGTGTGTTAAATCTCAGATGATCGCATACACCCGCACCCGAGACTTCAATCATCGAACTTTCAGGACAGGACACAAACTCACCCGTAAACCCAAGCCCTAACCAGCGAGCGATTAATGATGGCTGCAATGCAGCCCCCATCACTATACAGTTCGAAGACTATTTGTTGTCATGTGCTTCTAAGGTCATTGGCAAGCTACCAGACTAGTACAATAACAGCACGAAGACAAACTTAGACTCAGCACTCATCACCTCCTTGCCCTCTAGATCCGGAGCCTGAAGTCCACTGAAGCAAATTCCTCAAGGCTAGAGCACACTTTTTTCAGAGAGCGCTCTCTGATTCTGTTCGTAGATCAGTTCTTCCTCGGCAGAGGTGACCGGGGTTTCAGCAGGGCTTCCGGTTCGCGTAACTTCAAAAACTTAGGGCCTATAGGGGTCCCCTTTAAAGGGCTCCTTCAAGGGAGCGTAAGGGATCCTTATTTCGACCACTAAGTAGAACCTTACATCTCCTCTTCTTGGGACCTGTGTAGCCCTGATAGTGCCTGCGGTCTCGATTCCCATCGACAGTAAAGGTGGCGTTCATCACCCACAGCGGTCCGAGAAGCCATTACTAGACCTAAGACTTCACCATAAATCACATCTCGTAAGAAAGGCAAGTCGCCACTTGTAGTTGTTGCTGTAGCTCCACCAGTCCTGCAAGTTCCAAGAATAAGGGCTCGTGCTTTATCGCATTCGAGTTCGGGCGTTTACGGTTTATTGGTTTCGGCCTTCGGGGGCGGGCTCAGCATTTCCGGCCAGAGCTAGGACCCGCCAGCATCCTGTCATCATAAGCACCCTTAAAGGGACCCCTATAGACCCCTGAAAGGATCCCTTATCGATCGGTCCCTTAAAGGAACCCTTAGGGGGTAGGAGATTCTTTCACATCGATAAATCTCGAGCCAGGCCTCGGATCGGATCCGGTGTTGGAAGCATACGATGCCGTGCTTTAGTACGTTGCCTAGCATAGAGTTTAGAAGTCTCACCAATGAGCAAAGGGTTTTGACATACTTTGTGGGGAAAATCATGCACCAGGGTAGAAAGGGAATATGTGCCAACAAACCCGGACACTCTCGTCCTTTTCCTCATGCCAGCTCGGCTTGTGCCAGCGCCAGCTGCTTCCTGTGTCAGGCCAACATGCTATCATCGCTGCAACTGCACCAACGAATCCCCGACCCATGCTGAGAGAGAGAGAGAGACAGAGAGACAGAGAGACAGAGAGACAGAGAGACAGAGAGACAGAGAGACAGAGAGACAGAGAGACAGAGAGACAGAGAGACAGAGAGACAGAGAGACAGAGAGACAGAGAGACAGAGAGACAGAGAGACAGAGAGAGAGGGAGGGAGAGAGAAGCAGAAGTAGACAGAGACATTGGCCTGAGTCATCCCAGCGGTCTCGGCGGTCGTCACGGAGGTCATCTCGCCGATCGTACCCTCCGCGACGATCATCCCGGTCATAGCCGCGGCCCGCGCAGCCGCCACCTCCGCCACCTTCCAGAGAGACGTTCACCGCCCGCATCTTGCCTTTGCGATCGTCGTACTCCGCATCGAAACGGACCTTGTCTCCTTGGCCCAGGCGCTTGCACCCTTGCAGGGAGGATGCGTGGCAGAACAGGTCTTCGCTGCCGTCGTCTGGGCCTGAACGGTGGGTGTGAGCGAATGCTCAACCGATGACCCCGACAAAGCATCGACAACGTGCAAGAGCAGCGTCGCCTATGAAGCCGAAGCCCTTGTCTTCCACCCAGTTCTTCACGACGCCTGACTTCGACATGCCTCCTGTCCGATTGGTATACCCAGGACATAGTAGTGGTGGTAGTAGTGGTAGTAGTGGTAGGAGTGGTAGAGAAAGTAGTAGTAGTAGTAGTAGTAGTAGTAGTAGTAGTAGTAGTAGTAGTAGTAGTAGTAGTAGCAGCAGCAGCAGCAGCAGCAGCAGTAGCAGCAGTAGCAGTGGTAGTAGTAGTCGTCGTCGTGGTGGTGGAGTAGGAGTAGTAGGACAGCTGTTTCCTGTGCTCAGGTCAACATGCTGTCATCGCTGCAACTGCACCAGCGAATCCCCGACCCCTGCTGAGAGAGAGAGAGAGAGAGAGAGGGAGAGAGAAGCAGAAGTAGACAGAGACATTGGCCTGAGTCATCCCGGCGGTCTCGGCGGTCGTCACGGAGGTCATCTCGCCGATCATACCCTCCGCGACGATCATCCCGGTCATAGCCACGGCCCGCGCAGCCGCCACCTCCGCCACCTTCCAGAGAGACGTTCAGCGCCCGCATCTTGCCTTTGCGATCGTCGTACTCCGCATCGAAACGGACCTTGTCTCCTTGGCCCAGGCGCTTGCACCCTTGCAGGGAGGATGCGTGGCAGAACAGGTCTTCGCTGCCGTCGTCTGGGCCTGAACGGTGGGTGTGAGCGAATGCTCAACCGATGACCCCGACAAAGCATCGACAACGTGCAAGAGCAGCGTCGCCTATGAAGCCGAAGCCCTTGTCTTCCACCCAGTTCTTCACGACGCCTGACTTCGACATGCCTCCTGTCCGATTGGTATACCCAGGACATAGTAGTGGTGGTAGTAGTGGTAGGAGTGGTAGAGAAAGTAGTTGTAGTAGTAGTAGTAGTAGTAGTAGTAGTAGTAGTAGTAGTAGTAGTCGTAGTGGTAGGGGTAGGGGTAGTGGTAGGAGTAGGAGTAGTAGGAGTAGCAAATGTGGCGAGTTCGTCCGAAGCTTGTTGACTTGATGGTGCCCAAGCATCTCGCAACGCTATTTAACGCTATTTGACATGACTTTTCGCATCAATGGTAATGGACCGTAATGGAGGGATACTGATTCTATAATATGCCGGCCCCGCCGTTTGGTTACCTCTATTCTGGTTATTCCGTGATAAGTCAGCCTCTGTTCATGTTCAGAGGCTGTGATCGATGTGGTCTTCTGGATTACTTGTCTGTGAGAATATTATCCTGGAGTGGTTCCTTCTTTGACCATGTTTATGCTTTTCCGTGATCACATTTATCCGGCAGTGGTTCTGCCAAGTGTTATCGCTGATAAGTGCCCGTGATTAATTGCACCCTTGTGATCATAAATCGCTGTGATTACATACCCCGTGACCACGCCGTGACCTGAAAACACGGCTTGATCACGGGCTACTAAACCTGGACCCGAATTAGATGTAACCAAACCTGGGGGTAACCGCGGCCGGTGTATTGTTCTAAACATAAAGAAGCGAAGAATTCTAAGCCTCATAGGAGCGATCTGGGGGTTTCCGAAAATCAGGGGTACCTTATTTTGGGGTCCTTTGGTCCGGATCCTACTATTTAGTATTTGGGGTACCGGTACCACGTCTTAGCGTGAATTACGAGCTCAAGGTATTCCCTGTCAGGTTAGGCAAATCAGAGGTGGCTCCCACCTTGTCGCTGTCCGGCCTCACAGCCCAAATGTCGTTCAGGGTGTAGCATGATAAGGGCTTCGGAAGTAAGGTTTAGAGATTGTTCAGTTATGAAACCTACGGTGCGTTTGACCCGGAGGACTTGGGTTTGGAGAGTAAACAAAAGTGAGCCCCTTTCGGGGTTCGGCTTTCATTCGGTGACCCATGACCGCGGGCTAGCAGCACCTCTGCATGGAATGTTTTCCTGCTGCGAAGTCCTCGAGTGACTAGCGACTCAACTTCTAGGGATCTGGAAACTTAGGTCTCACAATTCAGTCACAATCCTTCATGCGCAAGCCGGGACTCCTTGCAACAATGGGGTTTAGGATTCAATTGACTTCAAGCTTCAACTGCTCTGCAGGAATCCCACACTCAACCCAATCCCAAACAGCCTGACGCCGAGTGAACCCGCACAGGCTCTACACCCTGCAGCCATCCTGTCGAAAAGATGCCGAATGAAACTGTGCTGACATCGCCGGGACCGCCGAGGTGCTGCTGCTGCAGCAGGAGCCGGAGGCCCCGTCGCCGTCGGCGACGCCGCAGGCGGAGCTCCCGCCGCCGCCACAGGTTCAGCCCTCGTTGCCGGCGGTGCTGCGGCAGCCTTCGCCTGCCACAGGTGTTTGCTGTGTCGTTGGGGGCTTAAGAGGTCTTAAGGGTCTGGAGGTTACTTGAGAACCACCGCTAGTGCCGCTAGTGTGAGGGCATGAGTCTGGTTCTTGCCAGCTGGGGGCCACCAGGGCAAAAGTGGGGGGACGCTGACTTGCGATACGTTGCGTTAGAGTTTTTCTTACCGCAAGGACCACTACCACTGTGTCGCGGGTCTTGCCTTCTGATCCCAAACAGCCTGATCAAGTTTGGCATGAAAAGTCTGGGGTCGAGGATCCTGGGCATCGGCCTCGGCTCGGATCTACAATATCGATTTGGGAGTTTCCGAAAATTGAGGGTACCTTTTTGGGGGTCCTGAAAAAAAGGATCCTACTATTTGGGGTACTATATTAGGGTCCCCTGTTTTTGGAAACTCCCATTTGTGGGTGTGGCGTTTGTTTTTGGCGGCCTGCTTTAAAGGTGCAGGCCTCGACTGACGAACAAAAGAAGCTCCATCTGGCTGGAGTGTCCGTCGCAGTGAGTTAAGTCCATCAAGCTCAAGCAACCCAACATTTAGGGCCAAGGATCACCAGAAGCAAAGCAAAGCAACTCACAAACACCAGCCAGGAAGAAGACAATTGCATCCACTATGCCTGCATCTATGCTATTGTATTAGTGTTCACATAATGCCACTAGCAGGATAAGCAGATTCGGCTTTTATGGCTTGGGTTCCTAGAGCTGCAGGGCAATTACGACAAACGATGGTCAGAGAACCCAAAACTTCAAATGAAAACCACAGAACCTCATAAACCAATAGACAAGTCCCAAATGAACATGCCATGGGCCAGCTTTACAGCCGCGCCTTGGCCATGTCTCTGCGCACCTCCAAGAGATGCGGTCGTGCTAATGTTTGTGATCCAAGGGCAACCCGCTGACATGATGCGGCGCTAATGTTGCTACTTGTGAGAGTGACAGGGGGGCGAGAGCTGCGGATTCCATGGAGATCCATGGAGTGTGCACCGGAGAATGCTGCTGTTGATGCCTGTTTATGGGTGCGGCAGCGGCATACCGCACGCGATGATCTGATGCCTTCGAATGCTCGGGGCCACAGACCGCCAAGCGGGGATGGGCCCTGGTCTGACCTCCTGGCCACTCTCTTGATGTGTGGTTTGCTTGTTCTGGTCCACAGTTGCCTGGACTTCTGGATCGCGATCTTGACTTCAAAGGGGCGCTGTCTTTTCTTGTCTTACTTCGCTCTCTGGCTCTCTCCGTCTCTCCCCTCTCCCCTCCCTCTTGTTCTTCACAAGTGCCTTTTCCTAGTGTGAAGCTTTCGTCGAGCGAGTTGCTCAATGGCAGCATTGCTCCTTTCACCGGGTATCTTGCTACTGCAACTGTCTTCTGCCTCGGTGTCACCCGCGCAATACGGCTCGAACAATTGCTCCTTGTCGAAACCGGTTGAGCCTTTAGAAACAATCAGGGCCTTTGGGGTTAAGCGTAGAGACCATGTCCTTTTTTGATCTTGGAACACAAGGGGCTGGGATCCAAATTTGATCATTCTTCGACTTCTTTGCTCGCTGACCCTTTCTCCCTTGCTTTCTGCTTTCCGAGCTCTGTTCCTGCATCTTAGGGCCTTGATCTCGTCACCCCGCCCAGTAACTGCTTATGTGGATTTTGTTCGCATCCTTGTCTTCTTCCTTGTCGATAGCGGCTGCCCAGCTCTCTTACTGCATTCCGTCGTTTGATCTTGCTTTTCTCTCTGCCTCTCTGTCTCTCTCTCTCTCTGCTTCTTCTTCTTCCCCGGGGCATGAGGGGAGTGCGAACCCCCTCGGCCTTAAAGGCCCCCCCGTTGTTTATGGAGGCTTTTGGAGGGGGTGTGAAAGTTTGTGAAGGATTTTCCCCCGGCTCCTATCTAGATAACATGTATTTGTTACAAAACAGGCCAGTTGACATACAATATCTACCGGGTAATTTGCCTTTCACATTGAACATCATTTTGTCATATTTGCAGTTCGCCAGGGTGTGTGCTTTAGGCAACCAGGACAGTGCTACATCACAATAAATGAGCATCATATTATTTGCACATCCCCTTGGTATGTTCAAATCAGTGTATGTCCTGATCATGGTTATGTCTGGGGTATTTTCCCCCATGCAAGTTGATCGCTACTTCTCAGGCATCACAATCGGGGCTTTTGATTCAAAACAATGTCTCTCTCTCTCTCTCTCTCCCCGCATTTCTCTTCTCTCTCTCTCTCTCTCTCTCTCTCTCTATCTCTCTCCTTCCTCCTGTCTCCTTTCTCTCGCACATAGCTTGTTACCAGGAGCCAAGCAGGATGATTTAGTGTCGAATCCTGTACTGTAAGGAAGGTTCAACCACTGTGCTTGAGGCACAAGAATGCTTCTGATGGAGCGTGCGTGATGCAGGTGATCTGCGGCACGCGAGTTTATATTACCCAGACTCAAGCTGAAATGGGCACAAGTTGAAGCCCCGACATGCCAAGAAGAGTTGATGATGCTCTACACAAAATCACACGCAAGTCAGTGAACCGACCCTGCACTATTCAAGACGTGCAAGCCTTCGTCCATGCCGATCTTGACATCGCGAAAGGTGCTGCCTCAATTTTCGAGGGCTGGCTTTGGGGTTGAGGCTGTAGGAAATTCGGTTGCTGATTGCGGTCCTGATGCCTGACAGCAACCTGAAGGCACTCAAAACTTAAAGACCGCACCCATAACCATGAACGGTCTGAAAACCAGGCAAAAGCCTCGCTCTCGTCACACCCCTGAAATCCAAATACTAAACTACCTGAACAGGCCAGGGTTGCGAGGTTGAAGTATCGGCGCCCCAGCAACCTGGGGCGAAAGTGGTAGCGGCGCGGGGATGAGTGTCCGCGGCTCGACAACAAAAACAAAAAAACAAAGCAAACACTGAACCTCAACAAAACTAATCATCAAGTCCGAGAGCGCCAATTCTGAAGCCCCAACTCCCAATTCCAAACGGGCTCACTAGACGCTTCCTTTCACACCCGCACTCCATCCCAAGCCAAAAATCTCGGCCCCTGAGCAGCCCCACTTCTCCTGTTGCTCCCAACCTTCACACACGCTTACTCCTGCTCTGACTCGCACTCCGACTCAGACTCCCACTCCTACTACTACTGTATACCAGTACTGCTCCCACGTCTGCTCCTGCGGCTGTTGGCGGCTGCTGCATGCTGCTGCATGTTGCTGTGAGGCAGACTTGGGGCTACCCGGCTACCCACAAACCCAATGCCCGAAGCCAACGAAAGCCCAGTGTGAGGACGACGAGGACGAAGGCCAAGGACGTCGGCGACCAATTTGGGCGGGAGCTGGACGAGTGGGGGTTGCCCCACATGCCCGAATCTGAAGACATTCTTCAAGCGGAGCAAAAGGTGCAAGTTAGGCAAATTGCTGATATTGCTGAATTTGTTTCCACGGAGAGCAAGTGACAGGAAATCTGTTCTGGGTAGCAGAGTGGGGCAAGTGGGGAGGCACAACCGACTGTTGCAGTTGATCCAGCTGGTGCTCACACTGTACTTTTTACTGCAGTTGATCCAGCTGGTGCTCACACTGTACTTTCACTGATAAGCTTACGACTCCTGCTAGTATTAAATGCTAGTATTGAGATGTTACTTACAACCACAACCACTGCTGCTGCTGCCGCTGCTGCTGCAACCCCTACCAAAAACCGGTCACGAACGACCCACTACGCTACCACCTACCACCTACTACCTACCACCTACCGCTACCGCTACCGCTACCACCACGATGATAAGTTCCATTGGCATTGTGGTACCGGGGTGCTTGGCGGTTTCATCATCGCATTGGCAGTAGGCCGCCAGAAAAGCCAGGAGCTTTTGACCTGAGGTTCTGCACCAGAAAATTGTGCACTTAGCTAGTTGATTTCTTTGACCTCAGAAGCAACATTCTGGAAAAATTGCAAGGCCCGATAGGGACTGCAGTGAGACGGTATGTGTATTGCAAAGTCACATTTTGCACTTCTGCTCTGTTTCTGCAATATTGAGGCCTCGACACTCCAAGCCCCTAAAACCATGGTTGTTGCAGAAAAGATTCCAAAGCATATACGTGCAAGCAGGCTACGGGAAAAGGTGGATACCGGATCACCAAAGTCCAATGGTTTGAAGATCTGCAGTACAACAGAAAAGACGACCATCAGCACATATCAGCATCCACAAATCTCACTGAGAAAATGATGCAGAAAACATCACATGACGCAACGGAACAACATTTCATTCACACGCAGCGGGAGAGGACTGTCTGAGGTGAAACTTATCGTCCACGCTTTGCGAGGGATCGACCTGTTGCCCTGCTTGCTACTTGCGCGGTCACTCTTCACGGCAAGCCGTGCCTTAACACTGCACTCGCACACGCTCCGCCCCTCAAGGCTGCAAGCTGTGAAGTGGGAAGCGAATGTGTCTTCAGAGTCTTGAGCGGCGATATGATTTTGGCACTAGTTTGAAAGCTAACCGGCTTGGTTACAATGTATCGCTGGCTGATTGGCAGCAGACCATTTTGCACTCAGCTGCTGTCTCGTTAGAGTATTCTAGCCTCGCTGTGAAGGCTCAGTGCGGACCACAAGCTCTATGTTGAAAAAGAGGCGGTGAGGCAATGATACGCTCAGTAGGGGCATTCCAGGCGCCATCTCCAACTCATTGTTGGTGTTCGCTGATGGCGGAGTAACTCCTGCCGGACCAGTGTTCGTGACATGAAGTTCTCCGGTTCCCGGATGGGAAATCGTGGAGGTCACTGCCTTTGGTGGGGGTCCCAGGGGAGGAACTCCTCCTGGGATTCCTCCTTTCACTGGCACTCCAGGTGCCTTACCTGGGCCTCCTGGTGTCCGATCCGTGCTGGATCCGCTTCCCGACAGATTGACGGGCACCGGCGGCGGCGGGCCCTTAGGCCCATCAGTCTTGGGTGCCGCTGTGTCATCTGAGTCTGAATCCCGGATGGCATCGCTGGATGGCGGCGACCTGGATAGGTGAGGACGACGCCTCACTGGAGGAGGGGTGCGGGAGTTCGCTCTGGTGCCACTCTTCTTCGGTGTTTCGGGCATGGCTGCTAGAGTCGAGACAGCTGGTGAGTTGAGCCTGTGTGAGATACGAGCATGATTTGCTTTTAGTGATCCTTTGGCTGACAGATCACTTGCAAATCTGGGCCCGTGGCTCTGCACAGAGCGGTGGATCGACCTCGGGATATTGATTGCTGGCAGGTGATAGATTCTGAGATAACCCTTAACCTTTAGCTTCGATTTCTTGCGTGAGCAGCTGCAGAGTCTGTTTGGGGAGCGACTCCACCAATTGGCGAGGCTCTCTTTCGGAGTCAGAGCGGCCTATTGTCGCCTCCGTACTTGGTGCCTGATTTCAGACTCTGATAGTACTCTATGACAGAAGGAGGCACTTCGGTTGGGGTGAGAATAACGCCGTTCTTGCTACGGAAAAACTTCACCCCTACCTGCATGGCCTTGCGTGGGTTTACCGCCACCAACATGGACGAGCTTTCTCTGAAACCAGAGACACCTGGTTTCCCATAGTCGCTGTCCGAAACGAAGTGGATATGCTGCCGTCCCTCCCTGCCACGTCCGCCTTTGCCACGGCCCTTGGAGATCTTATTCTGTGGCAGAAGGCCTCGTTGGCGGATTGGGTCGTACAAAGACCAGAATGTGCCATGGTAGAGCATTCCGGGGAGCATCTCCTCCGTGAGTTCCTCCAACACCTCTGTGGAGTCTACGTCCGAGCGAGAATGTCCTTGCAGCGCCCTGATGTACTTCTGGCCTTGGCAGTCTCCCAACTCGTACCTGCCTTTGGCATTGCTACGAACGACCTCCATGAGGTCGCCTGCCGTGGCGTGCTGGGCCTGCACTCGTGGCCAAGTCAACACGTCCTCAAGTTTGGCCCAGCCTGCCGAAGTGACATTGATGTGCGGTCTATGTCCGTGCCTGAGGGAAGCTGCTAGAGCTTTGGATACCTCGAACGAAAAGCTGGTCTCTGGGTTCGCCTAGGTCGCCTGGTTGACCCTCCCATGCCACAATAGAGGAGCTCCTTGGTGTAACTGAGCTATGGTCAGTGATCTCTACGATCTCGGTCGGGGGAGGAACTCCACCCTGTGAAACTGACGCCGGCTCTGGGGCTGGAAGGGGAGGAGCTCCTCCTTCCTTTCCTCGACTTGACGAGGCCGCTTCACTAGGCAGATCATATCCCAAAGCTGTGAATGAATCACGAGCCTGTCGAAGTGGAATCTCCAGCATTCCGCTCCACTCTCGGAGGTAATCACCTAAGGTGAGTGTCTCCTTTGTTGAAATTTGGAGGGGTCCGGAATTATTTGAGGAATTTTTTTTGTTTTATTTGGGGAATTTTTTTTGTTTTTAGCTTTTGCTTGGGAAAGGGGGGGCAGGGAGGGAGGGGGGAGGGGAGGGAGGGAGGGAGGGAGGGGGGAGGGGAGAGGGGAGAGGGAAGAGGGAGAGGGGAGAGGGGAGAGGGAAGAGGGAAGAGGGAAGAGGGAAGAGGGAAGAGGGAAGAGGGAGAGGGAGAGGGAGAGGCAAAGGGAGAGGGAAAGGGAGAGGCAGAGGGAGAGGCGGCGAGGGCGAGGGCGAGGGAGAGGGAGAGGGAAAGAGGAAGAGGGAGAGCGAGAGAAAGGGAGGAAATGGGGGGAAAGGAAAGCAGGGAGGAAGGGAACAAGAAGGCAAGTAGTAGTCGTAGTAGAAGTAGCAGTAGTAGTAGTAGTAGTAGTAGTAGTAGAAGTAGTAGTAGTAGTAGTAGTAGTAGTAGTAGTAGTAGTAGTAGTCGTAGTAGTAGTAGAAGTAGTAGTAGTAGTAGTAGTAGTAGCAGGAGTAGTAGTAGCACTAGTAGTAGTAGTCGTAGTAGGTAGTAGTAGTAGTAGTAGTAGTAGTAGTAGTAGTAGTAGTAGTAGTAGTAGTAGTAGTAGTAGTAGTAGTAGTAGTAGTAGTAGTAGTAGTAGTAGTAGTAGTAGTAGTAGTAGTAGTAGTAGTAGTAGTAGTAGTAGTGTAGTAGTAGTAGTAGTAGTAGTAGTAGAGTAGTAGTAGTAGTAGTAGTAGTAGTAGTAGTAGTAGTAGTAGTAGTAGTAGTAGTAGTAGTAGTAGTAGTAGTAGTAGTAGTAGTAGTAGTAGTAGTAGTAGTAGTAGTAGTAGTAGTAGTAGTAGTAGTAGTAGTAGTAGTAGTAGTAGTAGTAGGTAGTAGTAGTAGTAGTAGTAGTAGTAGTAGTAGTAGTAGTAGTAGTAGTAGTAGTAGTAGTAGTAGTAGTAGTAGCAGTAGCAGTAGTAGTAGTAGTAGTAGTAGGGTAGCAGCGGTAGTAGTAGTAGTCCTCGTCGTGGTCGTGATAATGGTGGTGGTGCTGCTGCTGGTAGTAGTAGGATTCTGTGCTTCTGATTCATGGCGGGGTCGCGGAGGCCGCCCGCGTCTCGTCGCTGCCACCCACCCCTCCTACCACGGCGCCTCCCCTGCCAGTGGCAGCTCAGCACAAGCGAGATAGAAATGTAGGGTTATACAACGATGCAGCTTTATAGACATCTAGCAGAGATTCAGGTATAGAGGTTGATATTGATATGTGTATGTGTAGATGCAGTTATAGAGATATAATATATAGAAACAGATACGAGTGCAAGAACGAATTACATTCATTTGCACACATGCGTAAAAGATTGGTCGTTCTCTGAATGCCGCAACTTTCAGACTCTGCCCTGCCAAAGCTTTGCTCAAGCTTTGCGATGCAGGGAAAAACCAGAAAACATGTTGGTCACAGGCTCCTCAAACCAGACTCGCTTGAAGGTTCATGATAAAGAAAAGGCAGAAAACAAAAAGCAAAGAAAGCAGCAGAAAGCGGAGCGCAAAGCAAAAGCAGAAAACAAAAAGCAACAAGCAAAAAAACAAAAACAACAGAAAGCAAAAGCAAAACACACAAAAAACAAAAAGTAAAGAGAGCAGGAAGCAGCAGAAAGCGGAGCGCAAAGCAAACGCAGAAAACAAAAAGCAACAAGCAAAAAACATAAAACAACAGAAAGCAACAGCAAAAAACACAAAAAACAAAAACTAAAGAGAGCAGGAAGCAGCAGAAAGCGGAGCGCAAAGCAAAAGCAGAAAACAAAAAACAACAAGCAAACACCAAAAACAACAGAAGGCAGAAGCAAACACGCACAAAAACAAAAAAAATTCCCCAAAAAAAACAAAATAAATTCCTCAAATAATTAGGATTCCAATTTGGAGCAGCAACGCTCGGATTTTCACCGCGTCAAAGGAGTATATTAGTTGATTTGTTTTCTTTCCACGTTTCTGCGATCCAGAGTGTGCAGCTTCCACCTCAATCATGGGCCGGACGAATATGTGGCGAGGTCCTATCCTCACCAGGCAACTGTAACCGGCAGCGAGATGCCTGTTTGAAAGCTTGTGGAGATACACTCCTGGGCGGGCCTCGAAGCTTCTTGTGCTGGAGAGGTCCGGTGTCGAAGGTAGAAGTCTTCCTGTGGCCAATATCCCATGCAAACATTCCAGGTGTGTGCCGTGGAACGCAACCTCGCTGTCCCCTGCAGGAAGAATGTTCGGTGAAGAGTACTCAAATCTAAACCATCCCTTCTCCTCAGCTGTTGGAAAGCCAAGCTTCGGCTGCAGGGGCTCATTGGCCAGGCCCCGGCGGGAAGCTAAGAAGGTCTCCAGGAGGGCATTGGCAATCTCCGGAGAGGGACGCTCCGCCTGGTTGAGGCCATCTCGCAGTTGCTGAGTCACTGTCACCATGATTCGGTGGTTATTCAGGTCGGTGATGGTGCCGTCACAGTCTGTGATCAGACTAGGAAAAGGTGTGTACCCCACCGACTGGAGTACTTTAAAGGCAGCT